AGCTACATATGTATTAATATATAATATAACTGATAGAAGGGAGAACAGAGAATTTTGCTGTATATTTATTATTTGTTTTTATCATTACATACTAATATATACTTTATATTGTCTTAATGCTACTAATCATTCAGATATTGTATAATGGATAATACTGCTACTATTATAGAAGCTTGAGGTTCAAATCCCCTTGCCTGAAATGTCTGATCAGTATAAACCTCTTTTAATCTTTAAGCCTTAATTTATAATATATACAGATAATATGACTGTATAAATTATACTATTAAAATGTCAGTGTTGAAATGATAAGAGGTGAAGTTTAAAAATTAAGATGATTAAGAGAAATAATAGTCAGAACAAAAATTATTTTATGTTGAATATGATCACTTTGAGACTCTCAATAAACTATCATGATAATATGATTTTATGTTAGCAAGTACTAAGTAGATGATCTTCTTTACTATGTTCTGATATTTAAATCCTTCTAACAGCTCTAATTCTTTGATGTCAGATAATCAGCAGATAGATTTTCATCTCAAGAATCAAATTTTCATTGATTATAAGTCTAGCAATGTTATCATAATTTTAAAGAATCTCTTCTAGTTTCTTTACTTGTTATATAGCTGATAACTTTTTTATTCTAAAAGATAATAATCTGCATCTCATATACAATACTCTATAAATTCACAATGCCTAGAGAATTAAAATTAAAAAGTTAAGCTTTGATATTTTTTATATAGTGATAAAGAATCAAACCTTTCTATTGCTGCAAAGTTGGATACACTAAGTCATTGTTACTTTTGAATATATTCTTTAGAATTACTTATTTATAATTTCATTTCTTGTCAAAATCTTTATTTTAGTTACTGATGTAGCTACTTAGTATATAAGCTGTTGAAAATCTTGTACTATCTCAGTTATCACCTTTACCATTTTCTTGAAAATCAACTGAAACTCTACAGCTCATGCTGTGAACAACATCAACACTATAAACAATATTCCTACTTTTGCTTTAAAAAAAGATGTCTCAAGTTTTAGTTTAAATTCTACTAGCAATTGCAACATCTGCAGAGAAATATACTTTTATACTAGTTTCACAGCTGGACTTATGGTATATTACTATGACTAGCAGTAGAGTGTTAAAGGCAGCTAATATCAAAATCAAGAGCAGAAGCAAAGTAAAACTCATTAGCCTATAGCTAGTGCATCAAGTTTGATTTGAAATACACAAATAAAGATTCCTCAGATATAGAGTATTCAACTAGATTTAGAAATAGAATAAGCAATAACTATTATGCTCAGCTAGTCTTTTAGATCATCTATGACTAGCATTAGCATAGGTTGAAACTGCAGATCAGTTGATTGACAGTAATTCCAGGCATAGTAAGTGAAACAGTAGAGTGTTCAGGCTTACAGTCAGGTACATCAGATCTGAGTCACAAAAATAAAGCTCTGCAGAGCTCTAGAACTGTCAAAAAGAGTTATATTTCATTTGCCAGATCAGAATAATAGTCTAGTTCTAGACAAGAGAAAATATTTATAAGCTTATTTTATTTATAGTTTTTGTATTTTTTATCTGTGTATATAAATGTAGGAGAGAGAAATTGCACAGAAGGCAACCTATTCCTGTAATTAGATCTTCTGATTTAATAAAGTTAGTCTCTGGACTAATAGCTTTGAGTGTTACTGCAACTTAGTAGCTTTTCTTCTGAAGTCATCTGACATCTGAATTCAGTGTGAGCCTCAGACTTTGATGTTTCTTTCCAATTCTGATATAATGCAATAGGCTAGCTGGTCATTCTTAAATTTGCAAACATATCGGAAAGAGATTGTATATATACTACTTTGAAGTGAGAGACAATGGGAGATGAAGCTCAGTCTAGAGTGCAATCAGATAGTAGTAGTACCAACTCTAAGCATAAACTTATCAGAAAATCTTTGACTAAGTGAAATATGAGTTGCTAATGTTCATGAGAATAAGCATATGAATAAAAACAGAATAAAAAACACTCACACTGAGTTTTCTATATCACATAAAGACTTGGTGGGAGACATCCTTCAGTCACATTGATTTGTCTATGTGCAAGGATCTTTCTTATAAAAAACTCAATAAAGTCAGAGAAAAAGATGAGTGTTGATTCTGGGATGACTATACATATTTTCACTATATGAAGCATCTCAATATAATAATGATCCTTCTTGATACACTGATATTAGAACTAGAACTCTTTACTGAATTATTGCATGATAAATCTCAGTCTAGAGCAGGAGAAGCAAGTGTATTATCTAGATAATAGTGAACTTATGCAGATACTTTCACAGAGTAATCTTATGTTTATATCACTCCTCATAGAGTCTATCTCTTCATCATCAGGTCAAATCCCACTCTTTAAAAAACTTGAATATCTTGATTTCTAGAATCAGTAAGCTGCTTAGAAAAGACTGAAGAGTAAATAGTATATTAGATTTGATGGAAGCCAAATGCATGTTACTCTCACAGTGTTCTAGATGCCCAAAATCTCATTACAAAGTTCCCAAATGCACAGAGATTCATGTTACAAGATGAGACTGAGAAGATCTGTAGTTTCATCTAACACTGAATTTGATAATGCTTATTTCTGTAAAACAACAGTTTGTCCTTGATTCTAGTAATATTAATTAGTAGAGATATGCAACACACACATAGCACAGGTCTCTAATGAAAGACTGAATAGTCTTAGTGTTAGAGGATATCTGTATGTATACCTGCATATTTTATCTTTTTGATTCTTTATCCTTTTTATCATCATCTGTTTCTTCTTGATTTTCACTTGTTTACTACATATACACTTCCTGTCATTACTTGATCACCTATATAGCCTGATCATAGATACTCATACCTCAGTCATTTTGCTCACACTGTATCTAACTGAGATTATTACTTATATGTTTTTGCTGTTACTTAGGCAAATATTAAAAAAAAATTCAGTTTGAAATACTGCTATAGATGCTGACTTTGCCAATATTCATAGCTTGATAGTGAATTTCAAATATTATGATAAAGCAGCTCATCAAGCAAAATAATAAAAATCATGTGATTTATAAATAAAATAAAACATTAGATAGAAATTATACACTCAACTTGACTACTATCTACTATACAACTTAACAAACATATATTATAACTATAAGATCATAGTATTATACAACAAAAATATTTTTTATATTCACTATAATTATAATTTGATATTCATTATCAAGCTCAATGATTGACTTAGTCAGATTATTGCTTAAATAGATAACAACTAATATGAAAGATAGAGTCTTTTGTGCTTAATGTTGAGAAGTTTAATTGTTTATATTGCACTCAGTTTTTATAAATTTTAAGGCTATATATTTAGGAAATAGTGATATGCTGAATACATATTCAGCCCTATAATTTGTAAATTCTGTATAACACACTAGAATATGCTAGTAACCAAGAACTATTAGCTAGTAGAGGATTATGGCTGAGACTCTAAGCTGATAGTCATGCTAGTCACTAATACTAAGTCTAAAAGAGACTTTGTAAAATAACATGGCATAAGGATAAAAATCCTAAATCAGGTTTAAACTGAGAAAAGTTCTGCACCGCATCTTGGGAAATACTAAGTCCAAGTTGGACTTAGAAATAGTATCTCAAATAGAGCCAATTCTACATGCCACTAAGTCAAGTACATTCTAAGACAGCTAGAGATATAATACCATAGCCAGTTGTGGAGTATTGAGTAAAGACAGCATCATTCAGAAGTATTAAAAAGAAAGACCTAATGATCTGTGGCTAGCACTGTGAGTTTTGACTCAAATGCCTAAGTCAGAATTTTCTAGGTATTAAATGACCTAAGAGACTTACAATTGAGAGGAATAGAGTGGATAGGTCTGATTGATCAAGCTACTAAGAATAACTCAGATGATTGAAACTCTGAGTAAACAGAAAGGAGTTAGGTACCTATAGGCACTGTAAGCTTAAAATAAAGCTGTGCAGTGGTCATACAGGTCTGTGCAGGCCTAGAAGAGTCTAGGAGCACTGTTATTCTGGAATAATGGCATGATTCCACTTCTAACAAGAGAAATACTATTTTGAACACTTTATTTATAGATTCTGTATCTGTTTTTAATGTATAAAAGTAGAAAAAAGAGGTAAATAGCAAGTAAGCAATCCATCCCCATATTCAGATCTTCTAGCTCACTGTAGTTAGTCCCTGGGACAACAGTTTTGAGTTCTGCTTTGACTTAGTGATTCATTTAAGTTGCTTTATCACTTAGAGAGGATTTGAATTGGAATATTAACTGTATTTTGGGTTTCAGATTACTTTAGGTTCTAAACTATAAGTTTTTTGGCATAAGAATACAAATTCTTTGGTTTTGAGGACTGTTAGCCAGCCAAGAGTGCAGCTAGTCAAGCCTAAGTGCTTGATAGACTTAGTATTTGTGTTTCACAGTTCATTGGGTTTTGGAATATTCTATGTTGATTTAGAGCACAATTGTGCATTGATTCTAAGTCTTAATTATACTTAAATATTGCTATAAACTACTCTCATGAGTATTGCATCTTAGAATGCAAGATAGAGTTGAATAACTGTCTTTATTGACTGTTTCTTTGATTTTATTCAAGACTGTAAGAGTGCTTCTATTGTACTCAAAAAAACTGACCTCAACTGTATTTGGTGATTGTGTATTGAGTGGTTAGGTGTTGGTGTTTGAGAGTTCATTCCTCATTCACCTCTCTTAGTCACTTAGCCATTACTAAGCACATCAATGTGCATCTGCTAATGCCAAAAAATAGCTCACAAGATACCAGGATGAACTCAAGTCTCAAGAATATGGAAGTATACAAGCTTGTTCTCTGCACCTCTGTATCTCTCAGCCAAAAAATCAAAAAAGAATGGCCTCTCTTTAAAATTAAATAGAATGAATTTGGAACTGCAGTCCACTGGAAAGTACACCTCATTTTCAAATGCTTTGAACAAATCTACAGCTGAGACTACACAAACACTACTTTTTCCACTGCTTATATGGAATCTTGGCATATTCTCTTATACTTGGCTACTGCTTTCAACTGGGATGCTCAACAAATCAATATGAAGACTGCCTTCCTTTATGATCTCTTACCTGAGAATGAAACTCAATATATGGAACAACCCAAAGGATTTGAGAAAACTGGTAAGGAGGTCTAGGTCTGGAAGCTTCAATGTGGATTGTATGGAATGAAGCGGAGTGGTCACATATGAAATCAGACTATGAAACAAAGCTATGCTATCTTAGGGTTTCACATGTCTCAGCAGTGAGTACTGCATCTATTATAGGAAAACCGCTGCTGGAGTTGTCATGGCTGCTGTGCATATTGATGACTTTCTTTCTGTAGCCAGTTTAAAGGAGGAGAACAAGCAATTCAAGCATCAGATATGATAGAAATGGATAATCTCAGATCTAGGTGAAGCAAAGTTCTGCATTGGTGACATGCCTGCTGCATTCCAGGCATGTAATTTTGCGAATTATGACAATACATGGACTGTATTACAGTCTACTATATGCACAATAAAGAATATGGCTAGAGTGCAGTAAAATGAGACTTATATGACAGCTGGCTTGAGTGATGATGAGTGGAGAGCATGGCCTAGCAGCAGGATGATGCTAAGGGGGGTCATATTGCACATGAGGTCTCAGCACATGAGGTCTCAGCACTTGACACTAATTGTGCTAATACAACTACAGAAAGACCCACTAAAAATAAAGAGCACATGATCAAAATATGATCAGGACTTTGCACTTGACTTTGCATCATATTAATCAATGACACATAGATATTCAATTGCTGAGGGATATGTTCTAGAACAGAGCATTAGTGCACAGTGAGATAAACCCAAATATTAGAGAGATTGGCTGAGAAATGAGAAGGTTGGTGAAAGAAATGACTAGAAATAAACTCAAGAGTCTAGAATGACTCCTGTGCATGGATTAATTGCCCCATGGAGATAAGAAAGCAAAGAGACCAGTGGCCAGACCACTAACATAGATAATCAGTGTCAGGTTTCATAGAAAGAAAAGACAGTCCTGACCCAGAGCAGAATATGCATGTCAGACTGCAATATGTATGTGAATGATATGCCAGAGACTCCAGAATGGAGTCCTGCACTTTGAAACTACTATATTTAGTGTGTCTTAGTAAGTACAGTAGTAGACTATTTAAGTACCACATTGTAAGAGTAGTAGAGAAGTTTCCAACCTCCCACAATTGTGGTATATTAGACACAGAAAGCCTTGCACTATAGCTCTGGGTTTGTGTTTGATACTTCAGGCAAGAGAATAGACCTATTATTAATATCATTGAGAGAGATTTGAGGACTGTATGAGGCACAGAAGCTTGCAAGGGACTTGAATTCAAATTGATAAGAGGTTTTGAATTGCACTCTAGCCTGAGAATAAGAGAGCAGTGTCTGTAGGGCACTATCTTGAGGTTTTGAGGTGTTTGTGATGCACAGCACTACAGGTGGCAGAGGTTCAAACCCTTTGGCTTGATTAGTGTGCGCTTTTTGGTTATTTCCTCAGGTTGGCAGAGATTCAAACCCTTTGAGTCTGTTGGATAGTGTTTTATTGTGTTTTGTATCTCTGGATTACATAGGTTTGAATCCTGTGGGTCTATGATCAGTTTGAAAACTCATGCACAGAGGTTTGAACCCTTTGGCACTTGTAGACATGTCTGTGATTGGTTTCTGCTTAGAGTGCAAGACTTTGAGTTGTGTAGTGCATGTTTAGAGACTTGGGATTGATCTGAGCTGTGCTTGGAACTGTTTTGAGAGTTTTGTGAGAGTATTTCAATATATTATATTGAGCTGCAGTACCCTTTGCCTTGAGACCTGGCAACATCTGTTGCCACCTCTTGTTTTCATAAAATGAAAAGCTTTGAGACTTAGAGAGATCTGAGAGAGTTGTACATGCATAATTGCTATTCATGCACAGTGGAATCATTTGAGAAGACAATTGTACTTGCTACAGCTACTCTATCACATTATAATCTCTCCAACAAACTAAAAAGTGTTGTGTGTATATTGGTGTGGTTGTGATCACTGGATAACTGTTAGATCCAGGTGTCACATGAGCTAAACCACATGATAAACAGAAGCTACCTTGCACTTCAGATAGTCATCTGAGTTCACTCAATGTGGTCCTGCACTGATGTGTCAGAAGGCCAAAGATTGGCTTGAGGATGAAATGGTATGAATAAACTTTAGCTCGAAGCTGGAGTTTACCAGCAATGGCAAGCCTCCTTAAATACAGTACATGGTCCACTATTAATACTTCATACTTATTGTGTGTTTCTCTGTCCTGGGTGCCCATTGTCCTTGAGCATTGTTATCATACATAAAAGGCCGATTGTGCATTTGTCATTAGACATCAGTTGCATCGAAGAACCATGACAAAGTTGGCCTGTTGTGATGACTAAGCCATTCCCATAGTTCTAAGCACTCATTCTTGATGCCTTGACTAAGCATAATTAGGGGTTTAAAAGGGTAGAAGAAGGAAAATCATAACATTACCCTCTCCTTAAGACCATCATCCCAATAGCTTAATTTAGAGATAATTCATAGTCATGGATGGCCTTGTCTGCATCCATCAGTTTTTCATTAACCCACTGGTTGGATTCAGGCCCATATCCCTTCCAGCTTACAAGATAATCAACTGTTATTGTCATTCCTCCATCTTTTGCCTTCATCTTATGTAATTTATGGTTTAATACCTGATCAATTTCATAGTGTTCTTCATCATTGATCAGGTCTGATGGAGATGGTGGAGGCCTTTCTTGGTTGGGGAAGGCTGGTGTAATATAAGGGAATAGTAATGTTTCATTGAATACATCATGAATCTTCCAGGTGGCTGGTAGCTGGAGTTTATATGCACTTGTCTCAACCTTTGAGGTAATTTGGAAGGGCCCTGTGTATTTGTCAGTGAGTTTTTGTTTGGGTCATGGCAAGTATAGGTTTGTGGTGTCTAGCCAGACTTTGTCATGAATAGAGTATTCACGAGCTGGGCATCAGTATTTGTCATATTGTGCCTTCATTGATGTGGCAGCTGGTTTCAGCACTGCTTTTGTTTCAGCATGGATTTTTGTCATCATAGAGGCAAAGTCTGTGGATGTGGGCATGGTGACCCAGTATCACTCTGTCTGGGTGGTGTTTGGGTGTTGTCCATAATTGATAAAGAATGGTGTCTTCCCCATTGCCGAATGTACTTGGTTGTTGTGTTGGAAGGCTGCAAGGGCCAACCATTCTACCCAGTCATCTTGTTGGTAGTTAATAAAAAGCTGGAGGTATTTTTTGACTTCTTAGTTGACATGTTCTGTCTGTCCATTGGTCTGTGGATGGTATGCCATGGATGCATTATGTTTAATATGTAGGAGGCAATAGAGGTCATCCAAGAATTTGGACACAAATTGTGGTCCTCTGTCTGAGATGATGACTTGTAGCATGCTGTATTTCACATACACCTCATCTCGTAAGATTTTTGCCCATCCTTCTGAAGTTAGTTCAGTTGAGCAAGCAATCGGTATTATTGCTTTTGAGAACCAATCAACTATGATGATGATCACATCATATCTGTTACAGTCTGATAATTCCATGATCATGTCGACTGAGATGTGGTGTTACGATTTTTCCTATTTTCTTTTCTTTTTACCCCTATTTATGCTTAGTCATAGCATGAGACGTGCTTGAGAAGCACCGTCGACTGAAGACAACGATGCTCGATGATACACAATTACCCTTTTATGTACAACAACGATGCTCAAGGACAACGGGCACCATGGACACAGACCGATACAATTAGTAGTTATATTATTAGCATCACCTGTACAATATTTAAGACTAGCAGCTCTCGCTGGGATACCCCAGCTTCGAGCTAAAGTTTATACATACCATTCTACCTCGAGTCTATATCTGACCTTGAGTCACACCATCCGGATATACATATAGTGAACTCAGGTGATTCCTCGAAGTGTGAAGGAACACCTGTTTATCACGTGTATCAGTTCACGTGATGCTTGGGCTTAACAATTAGCTCGAAGCTTCTACCTTCCCTTTCTCAAGCCCAATTGTGCTGAGAAACCGAATGCCTCCAGTAACGACCGCCGACCTAAACCACGACTTCTTTGAGCTAATCGCTTCCATCATCGGAACACTGCTCAGACTTCTCGCCATCATTACCCTTTGCCGCGGACGACAATCAGTAGCAGCTTGGATAGTCAGGCACTATCAAGCATTCCAACACATCCAACAAATACTACGCAATGTAACCCCGGACCTCCCTTTCCATGACATCCCCCCCTCCACCAGAACGTCCTTCTTCCCGCAAGGGGGACCCGTACCAGAAGCCGGGAATAGCGACCCGGATTCGGGGAGCCTTCACGAGGAGGAAGGACCCCGACACACCATTCGACAAGATGACGGAAACCGACACCCTGCTCTCACAGGGTTCCGGAACCCGTGGACGACGAATGTCGCTCGCGAGCCCGCCGAGGTCTCCAACTATGTCACTTCGGCCAACTCCCCTGAGCATTCCACCTCCCTGATTCCCTCAGGGGTTGGAAACCGTGCTCGGGACTCCCTTGATGCCGCTCGGATGGCTATGGGACCCCGCGAAAGTCCCGAGCCCCCCCAGAACCCCCCCGAGACCCCCACCGAGCCAAACTCCAACTCCAGCCCATCCGTCAGCAGGCTGGGGGTCGACAACCCACGAGGAAGGGATATCCATCCCGACTATGACAATGCCGACATCGCCATCTCCGCGGCAGGAGATCCATATCGGCACCTCCATGTGGGGAGTGAGCCCAAGACTGGGACCGCCAGCGAAAGAGGGAGGGCCGCCACAAGAAGAATCATACAGAGGATATTCCCGGAGTGGGACCTCAACGTCCCCTTCGACTACGATGAAGCAGTCAGACAGCAGCAGCAGAATCAAGAGCGAGAAGAAGCAAT